GTTTCTATCCTCCCTACTTAGTATCAGGGAAGGGTTAAGATACCTGCACCATCACACATGCCAGCACCAACTCTGCACCTGTCCACACTTTTCCTCGGGGAGGTTGAAGAGTCACCCTGAGACCTAGAGCAACCTCAGTTGGTCTTATGTAATCTTTTCCTCAGCACAGTTGACAAGGAACGGCTTCTCCATTTCTTCGGAGAGGCGCCTGCTCCAGAATGTGAAGCAGCAGCTCTCCGGAAGTTCAAGGGCAATCTCCAACCCAATGAGGGCCTTGGTACCAATGCAGGCTGCATGGCCTGTTCAAGCAGGCGCTTCTTCAGGCAAGGATCCCAAGCCACTTGAGTCCATTTCTTAAACGATCTTCAGATCACACAACACTCCTTGATGTAGGCCTCACCAAGACAGAGCAAGCACCAAGTGTGGGGATCGCTGTTGGGGGGACATTGTTTAAACCCCGCCACAGGCAATAAGGAGGAACTCATGGAACCACCTCATGGAACAAGGGGAGGTGCTACAGCCACAAGGCGCTAGCACCCCCCCTTTTGCTGGTAGGCAAAATTCTCTGGTTCCACTGCACTGGGCACCCACACACCTAAGTGGAATACACGGCTACATGTACTCAAACAATATCTTGTTTTCATCTGGTAATTAATTTACTTTTCTAGGGTCATTCTCTGAGTTGCTCCCTACCTCTCCCAGTGCTGGAGAGTATGTACATCAATAACAAATAAGACAGTTAAGGGTTCAGGGTCTACTTCGCTTGGAAGTGTCTTCCATGTTTAACATACAGTTCTAAAAAGTTTTCCTGACATTTAACCTAAGTTGCCCTTTACTTAATATCATTCCATTTCTTGATTATACCCACTTGTGCCACCATAAATAAATGGTCTCCCTCGTGGGTGTCAACACACTTTAAATAATCATACCTAAATAGTTTGGTCAAGGTATTCCTATTTAGGTTTTTTTAGCATTCCTCATCTTTCCATTGCCTATTCATTTGCAACTTTTCCCCAGTTATCCTTTAGTTTAATAGATATCTTTCAAGCGCTAATGCATCCAGGGTGTATACAGTACATTTTCACTAGTGCTATATAAAAGAGGGACCAGTTATCATCTCCTTAGTTATGAAGGATGAAATTTTTAAGAGTACCTAGGCCCTAGAGTCCCATTTTCAAAAATGACATGTCTATTTAGGAGCTTATGTCGATGGGAATTCACCTTATAAGTGCATTCATAGTTTTGAAAATGAGACAAGAGCTTTTGACTATTTTATCCAATGTCCCTCTAATTCAAAACCAGCATTGTCTCCTCTTTCCCTGTCTCCCCCACCACCACAATGTAAAACGAAGGATCAGCCACACCAAATCATGACCCATTTGTCCTGGTTCTCTACCACCAATTTCCCTGCCAAAAGGCATAATATTTTGGTCTGCACATAATTTCACTTCAATCCTAAGAAAAAATGTACATATGTTATGAAAACTAGTTCCAAACATTTTTAAGTAATATTTATTTCACACATAAGGATTAAGTAGGTAGGTACAAATATTGTGTCAATTCTAGTTTACTAGTACTACATATTTATAAAAGACCAATTGTTATGACAATTACAGAACATGACATACTAGTTTTATACAACTCTTCATAGCAAAAAAATAGACCCCACTTATTGTACAATTGCTTGCACATAAGTGGAATATATTCACTAAAAATTTTAGGTATACCACATAGGATGATAACCTGCTAAACAAAATACTAACGTAGCCAAATGCTTCCCCATCAAACCTTGTATTACTGTTTGACAAAAGGAGGATTCTTTCTATATTATTTTAGATGTCTGTCCCTCCTTTTCTATGGTGCACTCCCCTTTAAAATAAAATGACAGAGAAAAATCCCCAGAAAGAGGTCTAGTACTATTGTGGGAAAGTAAATATATTTTATCTATAATTACCTATTGCTAGCAGTGATTGAGCTTTCATGGTCAAAATTCCTTTAAAAGATTAAATTGAAGACACATTCCATACAAAAACCCTTTACTGAACAAGACTATACATTTATACTTCTCACAAGAAGCACCCAAAGCACTTAACAAAAGTTAATAATCATTTTCCAAAATTTCCTCAAATAATTTCAAATTCAAGTTAAAATATAAATGCACGTTGCTAGACAGATATAAAATTAAATTATGGCCTGAGACATTTTGCCACCCACACCATACACCATCAGAACAATTATACTCTTTTGGAATGTACCTCATTTAATCAAGAATTTTAAATCCACCATTCACTGTCTATAATATTTGAAAACCTACTATGAATTACATTTGGTCACAACAACCTGGGTGGATGCAAACTGGCACTAGAGATTAATCTTTTCACAGCTCATTACCATTCCATACACCATTCAGCCCCCCAACATCAAATACATAATAATCCTTTCACAACGTAAGAGATATTGCTGGTACAAAGTCTGCCGATGGCAATGGATGCAGCAAAACTATCCAGGTCAAGAAAAGAGAGATTCACTTCAGGATCAGCATGCTATTGCATAATACCCACTACTAATGGTGACGTTTACTAATAATGCAATTTCCCAGCACACAATAGAGTACAACATCCTATCAATGCCATGCCAATTCATCCTCTCATTAGCATATGGGGATTTAATGTCTGAACACAATAGTACAAAAATATCTAAACAGACAGATGACAAAGTACACTTTGCAATGAATGTATAATAGATACAGAATTGTCGTTCCACCTCTCATAATTCCATGCTCACATGGCATTTCATCAATGCACGTTTTTAGGTTGTGTGGGACAGTCCCAAGTTCAAAGTTAATCTTGTGTCTTTTTGTTCCTTCATGAGTGCTTATTCAACGTTTCTCCAAGTCTTTCCATGGCTTCTGTCTATGCCTATATTTTTAGTATCTCGAAAACCTATTTTGCCCTTTTTTGGTTTTGCTGTGTGATAAAACAATAAGGCTCATGTTATGCTTTCAGTTGTGCTGTTTATACATGTATACATTCCCAGAAATACTGTTTGAGTTCTGTACAAGCTCAAAGAAGCAGTCCAAAAAGGGTAAAGGCAAGCAGCACTTGACGTTCAAAAATGGAATAGCAATATAGAACAGAGATCAAACATTATAGAGCTTTTTATTAATCAAATATAATGGAGCTTTGTTAATTCGATACTGGGCTCCCTCTGACTGATTGTATTTCACCAGCTTCAAAAAGTGAAAAGAAATGAAGAAGAATCCTCAACGCAGCTGGGTGCACAACCATCTCAAAGAAGCCTTGGTAAAGTAACACATCATCTCACGTATATAAAGGTTTACTCCAAAACTACAGAAAATATAGGCATATGTTACAAGTGGAACATTCATTTCAGAAGTCCTAAAACACAGTCCCTAGATGCTTAACACTGCATATACGAGGCCACCATGACATCTCAGATAAAAGATGCACGCTATAGAAAAAACTAAATTTCTACAGTGGACCAGCCCAAAAAATTAATAAATAACAATGGTAGTGAATTATCCTGCTAGGTCATTGTAGCGGGGTGATCACACGCTCCTGCCCAGGAGGGGTTAAAAGTAGCCCTGGGGAGGGCTGTGGCTGGGAGAAAGCAGCAACTAGGCTGATTGGGGAAGCAGCCGCAGGTGGGTCATGCCTCAATCAGGCCACAGCTAGCCCTATAAAAGGCCAGTGAGCCAGGAGCTGACAGAGTCTCTCTCTAGATGTAGAGTGAGACGGACCTGGCTGCAGGGACCTGAGCAGAGTACCTGAGGAAAGGCAGAGGAGCTCGGGAGGCTCCAGCCTGGAAAGCCCCAGGCTGCGGCCTAGCAGAAGGCCAACGGGTACTGGGGGTTGCAGAGGGCAGTCCAGGGGTAGGCAAAGGCAGCAGGTCCAAACCCAACTTTGCTGGTGATGAGTGGCTTATATTGCAGTCTGCCCCAGGGCACGGGGGCTAGACAATGACTGGCAGTAGCCTTACACTGAGGCAAGGTGGGGATTAGAGGGTTGGGGATTCCCCAGAGAGGGGAGAACCAGAGGCAGAGTATGGGCGTATTGCCAGTGGGCAGCACCCCAGAGAACGGGCACCGGGGTCCGGGAGGGACACGGGGCCAGAAATAAGTGGGACACCGGCCTACAGAGGGCACTCCAGACTGGAAATCGAGCTAATTCCCTGAGAGACCAGCAGGAGGCGCCGCAGGGGTGAGTCCCGCATCGCTACAGTCATAAATAGTTTGAACAGCACTCCAACCTCCCCACTAGTGTTAAGTGATGGTTCACCACTGCCTCCTAAAGCAAATGCAGGGGGCAAATGTTGTCTGAAGACTAGAATGTAAAAAACCAAGATGTGTTTCAAACGCTATAATAATTTCAAGAGCACACGGAGGCTAAGCAAAGGAGGACACAAAATCCTTCAAACCTTCATGCATGAAGGAATATAGGTAAAGCCTAGCTTTGGACTTGGGATGGTCTACACTGAAAAGGAACTAAAAGTATATCCAATGTACAGGTAAGAGAGTCAACAGCCATGTCCAGACTACATGGCCCATATACATTTTTAACTTTACGTATATGTCTAAAAGTGCAAGTAAGTGAGCTTCTACATCTAACCAAGCACTAGTGGATTGCCCAATAGGTATGGAGTTGTCATGCTCACCATAAATAAGTACATTAAGAATTAAAGCCTTCACTAAAAAGATAGAAGTTTTCTTCCTCAATTGTTTTAAGTCAATAGTATTTTTGGTTAAGAGACACGTCTCCCTTTACAATAATAATTTATGAGTAGAGTTCCACTCCCACAAATGTACATACAAATTCACATAGGTTAAGCAGCTGAGTCTTTCAGGTTTGTTCGTATTCTATATTTAGACAGCCCCAAGAAAATCAGTTAATCAAGAACAGAATGCATCTTAGCAGTACTAATGTTTGTTTTGTTTTTAATTTATAGGCTAAATTTCATTTTTTATAAATAGAAGTAGTTACCTGTTTATATTCACCAACGCAGTTTTGGCAGCAGAATCTTTTCTGCTGACCATCAATCGTAAGGACATTGTTTCCAGCTCCTTTACTGGGCAAGTACTCCCCACAATGCTCACAGCAATTCATTATTAAACCTTTCGCCATTCTGTATCTATTGAAGCAGTGGTCACTACACAGCTTATGAGTCATGTTCTTAAAGCTAACTTCATGGCGAATCTAAAAAAAAAAAACAATCAAGGTTTTTCATCAGTGTATTACACTTGATAATCACAACTTAAACAATATCTGGTTCAACTGAAAGCCTAGATAATATTGTGACATATGCATTTGAAATAACTATAACAACAAACAAAGCAAACTCTGTCTCCTTGCAATCTCTGGGCAAAAACCTAGCCCCAGCTGTTCTTGCAGCCCTGGCCAATCCAAGGTCAAAGGGTGAGATTCACACAAGGCTGCTCAAGAGAATGGGGAGCTAATTTACATCATTTTCCCCACCTGCACTTTATACGCTTTGTTGGCAGTGAGCAGGATTTTTAATATATTTGGCTATTAATTTACAAGGCTGTCTTGGGGCTAAAAGGATGCATATAGGTTGCTATGTAAACTGGGCCCAGTATTTGCATCCAGAATGTAGTAATCCCAATTTAGTAGAATTTAAATAAGAGTATATTCTACTATACAAACCATCTATTCATTACTCAGGGGGATTCTCCAAAATATGCAATTAGAATAGAGAAAATCCTGAACTGTTTTGATGGCAACATTTGTATGTACTGTACTGATCAGTATCAATTACTATTGGATTTATACTTTGAGAGCCCTCAAAATAGTTATTGAAAAATGAAATATGAGAGGAGCAGTAACTGTTTCTACTTTTCTCCCTTTTAAGAATGCAAGAAACCAGGGGCCACCCAATGAAATTAATAAAACAAAACAAACAAAAGCACAACACACAGTCAACCTACGATACTCATTGCCCTGCGATGCTGTGAAGGCCACAAATATAAATGGGCTCAAAAAAGAATTAGAGAAGTTCATGGAAGATAGGGCTGTCAATGGTTGTTAGCCAAGATGGTCATCCATGCTCTGGGTGTCTCTAAGCTTCTGACTGCCAGAGGCTGGGACTAGACAACAGGAAGTGGATCACTCTCTAACTGTTCTGTTCATTCCCTTTGAAGCATCTGGCAGCGAGCGCTGTCAGGAGACAGGATACTGGGCTAGATGGCCCACTGGTCTGACACAGTATGGCCATTCTTATGCTCTTATGGAGATCAACAGTGATCAATTCAACATAAAATTTTTAAATTACTCGCTGTCTAAAGAAAAGCCTTGGCAGCAATGAAAGTGAACTCCAAAATGTTAGCTGCAGGACTACAAAAATGTTAGTAATACACAACTGTCTTCATAGATTTATTAAATTTAAATATGCAATAAAGAAATTTACAGAAATTAATATTATCTAACCATTATAAAGCATGACTGAAGATGGCAAGAGCTATAAAATTGCTAAATATATTAAGCCTAATAAGTGTAGAAATACAAAAAACTGGACAACTTTAAAAAAATAGACATTTTACCACTCTTTCCAATCAACTTTTTAATAATAAATGTTCTATTAGTAAGTAATTTAAGAGTTGAGACCAAAAATTCAACCTGACCTCAGTTAGTTTACCACAGATAGTGCATCTTGACTTATTCAAGATTCCTTTTGAGGGATTATGCTTGTCTTCATAGAAGGACAAACATGATGTACTGCAAAACTCCTGGAAAGACTCACTGGAATCAACTTGAGCAACAATGGTGCCTTTCATTGTTGTTATATCTCTGAAAGACAAAAGCGCTAGAGCATAAAACTTTTTTTTTTAAATTGTATTTTATAACAATATAATTGATTCTTTTTTCCCCACCCACCATGCACTTTTCATTTCTCAGATTCCAAACAGCTTTTGGTTCAATACTATTTTCAAGACGGCCCCACTGTACTGACATCAATTAATCATTCTATCTGTTGCATTTGTTTCTCTTGAGTTTAATACTACTTGCTAAAATATAGAGTTATGAGCAACTTTACATTAACATTGCAAATGGACCACTAAAACAAAGCAATTTCTGTTATATATCCAAAAGAATTATCAGGCTATATATTTTTTCCTACATTACTTCCAATATTGAAGATACAGTATTTGTAAAACAGCTTTTACCAACGAGCAGTTACTAGTTGTGCATATCTAACTTAGTACATGCAAAAAATTAAAATTTAAACATAAAACTACGGATTTTTTTAAACAAAAGCTGCTTCCCAACAATAAAAAAAGTATTTTAAAAAAACTTATTCAGTCAATAAACATCTATTTCCTGCTCCTCAAAAACCCATAACACTGCCACAACTAATATCAGCACTTTATTTTATTATTTTTGGAAATTCTTTTCTTCTGAAATAGGACACTGAAGAGCTGTCTTTTTAGCTGTAGCCAGAAATTTTTGTTAAGAGCAAAACTCCACTCTGAATTTGCCTGGTGTGCTTGGATATTACAATGCATCATTTTAAATAAAAAATAGGCACAATTTATAAAAGTAATCAAGTTGGCTAAAGAAGTTCCAAATCACCAATCTGAATATGGACTACCTAGCTGTAACAGATTAAACATACAATTGAGACAGCAGATTATTTTTGGACTAACCAAATGAACAGTAATAAATTACTCTGAACTAGTCCTTCACACCTCTCCTCATTAAAAGTCAATTGCACTATTGTGTTCTGTGGCTAGTGCTAGATACACTTGGTCTTCAGCCTCATGCTACACTATGCACCTTAACATTTGCAATAATCTCAGTTGTATGTCTTGTTGCATGCCTTTCCTTCTGCATTTATTGTTTGGCCATCTCTGCAAAAATAGCAGGACATAATAATAATATTAACAACCAATTTACCAACTTTGGGTTTAACAAGATATCTAAAGTTACATTAAAATGTTCTTAAAGTAAGCTTGGTTTAAAGTCAGTCAGTTTTAACTGTAGGGTGTCTTATGAATCTAATTATTTCAACACGTTAGATTACTTGGTTTTCAGATGGCAGCAGAGTTTTTAAGAGATACTTCTAGCTCCTAAAATGAAGAGCCCCCTCCAAATCAAATCCATCATACATTATAGATATTCATCAGAAAGTTGTGGTTAACAATAGACACAGAATAATGAGCAAACTCAACTGACAATGGATAAGCTTAACTGCTTTGAACACAAGTGATATTTGCTAGTGAATTTTGCTGTTACTTCACAAGAACTTTACTCCCATAAAACTAAAAATGTGAGTCTCTACAACTTAAACTAAAGAGCCAGATTCTGTAGCTGGGGCTGTAGCACATCCATATCATCCGTGCATTGGGCACAAAGGACTGTTATACACACGGACCAGAGGGTTCTTTTCTCCCTCTCCTCTTCCTCTCCTCCCCTCCCCCACACATCCTCCACGGAAGTTATGAGAGAGGAAAAATATCTCCCTTTTCCTTACAGTCACACGGCTTTTGTTTTTTTATGATTACTGATGCAATGGAAATACCATTCAGCAGTATAAAGCAAGAATAGACTGGGCAGGTCTGGAGGTCAAGTGACAGCATGTTACATTCTCGTGTTGGGGACGGACAAGTCTATCCCATGTTCAGTTCTGAGTTTATAAACTGGGAGGAACTGAAAGCACTGAAGACATACAGCCTCTGGGGAAAGGGAATGCTGTATGCTACTCTTTAAAGATTGCTTCTGGAAAAGGCATGGACTGCCTGTACAGTGAGACACCTTCAGATCTACCCTCATCTGAAAAGATGTCAGCATGAAGCTGGACCTTTTGCAAGAGGACTACAAGACAAGACAACTTGCTTGTGTACTACCACAGAAACAGAACGCCAGCACCTCTGCCCTGACAAGCTTACAATCTGTGGCATCAATTGGGCCAAGATTTACAAACGTGCTTAACTTTTAGCACGAATAGTTTCACTGACTATGATCAGAGAGAAGTAAGAGCATCAAAAAAGGGAAAAAATGGCAATTTTTAATAAAAATTTGAGGGGAAAAATAATGAACTTTTAACACATTAGCCAAAATTTTCAGAAAGTGACTAACAATTTTG